GGTATGGCAGGAGCCATGACTGAGCAACAGACAGGTATGGCAGGAGCTGAGACTGATCCTCAACACCTTTTTTCTTCATCTGTGTTTGAAACTTTGTAAATAAATTATTGGATTCAACTCTGGCTGCTAGCAAAATATAGTAAATCACTGAACCAGTTTTAATACCACAGTTACAACTAATTAACTTTTGGATTCAACTCAGTTCCAGATGTTCTTCTATGTCAATTGACCTCAAAACACAAAAATGGCCACAATCATTGGATTTTATCGATATTGAGGCTAAAATGAGTGTGGTACGTCGTCTACAACCAGTAGAAAATATTAGCAGTGACAAAGTTGTTGTCCTTTTATTGACTTCATCAGGAGGAGACAGAGACACCATCAGGTAGAAAAACAACAGAGGTCCAGGACTCACACTGAGCTGCCACGATGGACATCTGAATCAGGAGGAAGCAGAAGATGAGTGCATGAACCCTGTCCATGTTCCTGTCCGTGCTCGTGCCGAGTGTGGACAGATCTTTGTGTTTGTCTCTCTGGTTTCTGCTTATCTGCCTGCTGCCATGGCTGCAGTGGACTTTCACCCATCATAAAGACATGCTCCTCTGTTTGTTGGGAAGCCATAAACAATCTCTTTCTGGGGCTGATTACCTCAGATTTGGTTAGAAGACTTGAACCGTAACACCACAACCTGCTGGTGGGCACGCATGAACGAAAACAGGCGAGAACAGAATTATTTGCTTATTTTACACAAGCTTCTTCTTCGTGCTCCTGTTATTGAGATGTCCTCTGTCCTCACCTGGATTTACGATTGACAAAACAGAACACACATATCACACAATACAAACCAAGAGGCAGAACAACGAAGCCAATGAGGAAGTGTTGGCCACTCATTCGCATCATCACACTCTTGATTTAGTTCTGACCTATAGCATTGAGATTAATAACTTAGTAATAGTTCCTCAAAATCCTGTTCTGTCCGACCATTTTTTAATAACTTTGAGTTTACATTAAATGACTACACAGTCACTGAGAGTAAATTTCATCTCAGCAGGTGCTTATCAGAAAATGCTGTAACCAAATTGAAACAATCTCTTCCATCAATGTTTCCTCTGTCTTGCAGAGTAATGCATCAGAGAACAGAGACTTAGATCATCTAGTTGATCATCTTACAACTTCAATGCAAACTTCATTTGATAAAATTGCTCCGCGGAAAAAGAAAGTAATCAATCAGAGGAAACTGGCTCCTTGGTTCAATTCTGAGTTACGTACTTTAAAGCAGATATCTAGAAAGTTAGAAAGAAAATGGCGCTCCACTAACATTGAATAATTTTACTTATCCTGGAGAGATAGCCTGCTAACATACAAAAAAGCTCTCCGTAAAGCTAGAACTTTATATTACTCATCTTTAATTGATGAGAATAAAAATAACCCGAGGTTCCTTTTCAGTACCATAGCTCGTCTAATGAAAAATCCTCTCTGTTGATTCATGTATCCCTACAAATATAAGCAGTGATGACTTCATGAGATTCTTTATAAATAAACTTGTTTCAATTAAGGAAAAAGACTCAAAACAACATTCCCAGTATCACCTCTGGTTCTCTTTCAGATGAGACAACTTTAAAAATGTCACTACAACCTGATTTATGTTTGGACTAATTTTGTCCTGTTGCGCTCTGAATTGTCAAAAGCAATAGTATGCTGGTGAAGCTTCTCAGTCATCCAGGACATGATGAATTCAAAAAGCGTTCAATACAAAAACAACTGGACTTTATTTGTAACAGAAGACGTTTCGCTCCTCATCTGAGGAGCTTCCTCAATTCAAAGAGCAGAGAGTGAGAGGTTCAGGTTCAGAGGCTGAGTGAGATAAGACACACACACACATGTGTAGATTTGACAAGTCACACCTAAACACCTTAACAGTAGGTCTTTCTTAAAGTCTTTGTTCCTCTAATTCACAGACGAGGCCCCTCTGTTCCCATCAGGTGTGAAAAACTGGCTGGGGATCTGTTTTAAAGTTGCATTATAGGTTTTTGAAAGTGGAAATCTGAGGCCTCCTCCTCTGTTAAGAGACGGCTTTTCTCTTTTTACATAAATTGCTTCCTTCACCCCCCTCTCAAACCATCTGTGTTCTCGGTCCAAAATGTGCACATTTTGGACCTCAAAAGAGTGTCCCTTATCTGTGAGGTGGAGGTGAACAGCTGAGTCTTGTCCAGAGGAGGTGGCTCTCTTGTGTTGAGCCATGCGTCTGTGAAGAGACTGTTTAGTTTCTCCAGTGTAGAGGTCTGGACAGTCCTCGCTGCACTGGACCACATACACTACACCACTCTGTTTGTGTATGGGTGTTCTGTCCTTAGGGTGGACCAGTCTCTGTCTGAGAGTCCTGCTGGGTTTGAAATGTACTGGGATCTTGTGTTTGTTGAAGATCCTTCTGAATTTCTCTAATACTCCAGCAACATAAGGGATGACGATGTTTTTACGTCTGTTCTTCTCCTTTTTTTGTTTATTAGTGTGTTTTGTAGATTTCCTCGCTGACTTGACAAAAGCCCAGTTAGGATATCCACATGTTTGAAGAGCTTCTTGAATGTGTTTCTGTTCCTTTTCCTTCCCTTTTGTCTTTGTGGGGACGCGTTCGGCCCGATGTTGTAAAGTTCTGATGACAGAGTTTGTGTTCCAGGGGATGGTGGGAGTCAAACAGAAGATACTGGTCTGTGTGGGTTGGTTTTCTGTAAACTTCAATGTTGAGGCTGTCCTCTCTCTCCATCTGAACCAAACAGTCCAAAAAAGGCAGTTTGTTGTCGTTTGCATCCTCTCTGGTGAACTTGATGTTGTTATCGACCGAGTTAATGTGTCTGGTGAACGCTTCTATTTCCTTGGCTTGGATTTTGACCCAGGTGTCATCCACATAACGGAACCAATGGCTTGGCTTAGTTCCCTCATAGGAGTTTAGGGCTCTCTGTTCCACTTCCTCCATGTAGAGATTGGCAACAATGGGTGACACTGGAGATCCCATGGCACAGCCGTGCTTCTGTCTGTAAAAACTGTCATTGAACTTGAAATAAGTGGTGGAGAGGCAGAGATCCAACAGGGTGCAGATCTGGTCCGGGGTGAAGTTGGTCCTGTTGATTAAGTCCTTGTCTTGTAGAAGTTGTTTTCTGACGGTTTCTATTGCTTCAGAGATGGGTATGCATGTGAAAAGAGAAGTCACATCATACGATACAAGGGTTTCTCCTGGGGTTAGTTTCAAGTGTTGAACTTTGTTAGCAAAATCAATGGAGTTCTTTATTTGATGAGGTGTGTTTCCAACAAGAGGAGCTAAAATATCAGCCAGATGTTTAGCAATATTGTATGTCACTGAGTTCATGCTGCTGACGATGGGTCTGAGTGGTGTTCCTTCTTTGTGTATTTTAGGAAGTCCATAAAGACAGGGAGTGGCTTCCCCTGGGTACAATCTATAATACAAAGATCGATTGATTGTTTTCTCCTTTTCAAGTTTTTGCTGGTAATCTGTGACTTTCTTTTTATAGGTGCTGGTTGGGTCCCTCTTCAGGGTCTCGTAGGTGTTGCTGTCGCTCAGTAGTGTAGTTATTTTTTCCTGGTAATCAGAAGTGTTGAGGACTACTGTGCATCTTCCTTTATCAGCTGGTAAAATGGTGATGTTTTGGTCCTGGCTGAGTGATGTTACAGCTTTCCTTTCCTGTGGTGTGAGGTTTGAAGGAGGCGGTTTGGCACTGGAGAGGGTTGCTGATATTTCCATTCTGAGCTGTTCTGCCTCTCCTTCCGTCAAGTTGTTGTTCCTAATCGCGGATTCAGTGGCCGTGATTAGTTCCACAACAGGTATTTCTTGTGGGGAGATGGCAAAGTTTAGTCCTTTTGCCAGCACATATTTTTCAGGTTGAGTCAATGTCCTGTTAGACAAATTTCTAACTCACTGGTCCTGAAAATTTGTGTTGGCAAAAAACTCCTGATCTTGACTGATGGTCTCTTGACCATCAGTCAAGTTTTCACACCTGATGGGAAAAGAGGGGTCTCATCTGTGAATTAGAGTAACAAAGACTTTAAGAAACCCCTACTGTTAAGGTGTTTAGGTGTGAATTGCCAATCCACATATGTGTGTGTCTTATCTCACTCAGCCTTATAACCTGAATCTCTCACTCTCTGCTCTTTGAATTGAGAAAGCTCCTGGGATGAGGAGTGAAACGTCTTCTGTTACAAATAAAGTCCAGTTGTTTTTGTATTGAACGCTTTTTGAAAAACAATAGTACCACAGCGCTTTAAGGTTGCTGTAATTAAACCTTTACTTAAGAAACATAACCTTGACTCAGGAATCCTAGCCAACTATAGACCTATATCTAATTTAACTTTCATCTCAAAAATTCTAGAGAAAATAGTTGCAGGTCAGTTATGTGATCATCTGCAAAGAAATAATCTGTTTGAAGAGTTTCACTTAGGGTTTAGAGCTCAAAACAGCACAAGTGAAAGTCACTAATGATATTCAAGTTCAGGTAAGTTTTATTATCATTCGATTCACATGTGGTACATGAGGCAGAATGAAATTGTGTACACAGGGTCCCAGTTGCATCCGACAACGACAAAAATATAAATTGTAAAAAGAAACAGTAATAAGGATCTAAGATTTAAACTAAGAAATATGCTAAACACTAATAGTGCAAAACAATATGTCGAACAACAGCAGCACGAACATGAGTCTATGTGAGTAGATGAGTATGAATGGAAAGGGCCTCTGACAATGGACTTGTGTCTCTACTGGTCCTGTTAGACCTCAGTGCTGCATTTGATACAGTTGATCACAATATTTTACTACAGAGACTTGAATATGATGTTGGGATTACAGGAATGGCTCTAAATTGGTTTAAATTAGAAAGGAAATGTAAATTTCCTTAGATAGAGAACATTACTAACTGGCTTTTCTATGTATTTGAATGTTCCTGTAAAGTCCCTGAGACAACTTTGTTGTGATTTGGCACTATATAAATAAACTGAATTGAACTGAATTAAATCATATCTATCTGATAGATTCCAATTTGCAAATGTAAATAATGAATCTTCATCATAGACCAAAAATTAGTCATGGAGTTCCCCAGGGCTCAGTGCTTGGACCAATACGCTTTACTTTATATATGCTTCCATTAGGTAAAGTTATTAAACAGCATGGGATAAATTTTCATTGTTATGCTGATGATACTCAGTTATATTTGTCCATTAAACCCAATGAATCCAATCAGCTACTTAGACTACAAGCATGTCTTAAAGACATAAAAACCTAGATGACCCTTAATTTTCTCCTGTTGAACAGACAAGACTGAGGTTTTAGTTTTTGGACCTGAGCACCTTAGGAATGAATTTTTCAGTCTTTCTCCCTCCTTAGATGCATTAATCTGTCCTCCAGCTC